GAGCTGCCTGGGTTCATTTTTAATGCCCTACCATCCAGAGAATGTTGTCTAACCTAGCCAAGGCATGTGTTCGCATCTCAGCTTTGCCCACCCCAAGGGACCAGCTTTCTTCAAGAACCAGCACGACACTCCTGTTGCTATAGGAACAACAGAGCTGTAATCACCAAGGTCTTAGTATAATTCACTATCATGCTTACTAGCTGCGCAGCTTCCATTTAGAGATTTGCCAGAACAGCGACTTAAGAAAGCCAAGTGCTAGCCTACCAGTTAGAAATGCAAGTGGGAAACAGGAAATAGGGTTTTTATGCAGGAGATGCTTCTGTACATATAACTTTCTGGGAGGCATTTTGCTTGTATTAAAAATAGGTGAGAAAAGAAACCTAATGAGTCTGAGCTGCCTTAGTTCTTGCTGCAATGCAGGGAAGAGACTAGTATGTTAATATCCCAAAACAGCTCATGATTATATCCACTCTCTAGCACATATGCTGGTTGAACAGAGATGCCTTTGGGTTCCTCATTTATTTTTGGAGCCATGAAAACAAAACAACAAATAACCCACAGATGTCAGCTAAAAAGCTCCTTGAGTAAAGAAAAATGCCCTGTATTTTTGCACCTTTCATGTATGTGTTAACAATGTTACAGCAATGATCGAAAAATAAAACGGTGATAAAAAACCGTGAGCATGACATTAACGTTTCATCTCCTAATTAATACTAAATTTAAATATTAAATACTTCTGCTTAGAGTCTTGTAACTATTGTTCAGGCTTGCCTGGGTTACTGAGATCTCATCCCCTCTGCTAGCAGTTCACCTTTCAATGGATAATAAAGTATTTTTAAGACATCAGATAAGCCTCATAACTGTCATGGATGCAACATGGCTGTCTGGATCAGCTGAAGAACAGAATGAGTGACCAGGCCAAAGTATTAATAAAAATAGCTAAAATATCAAGCTATGAATAGAATCCAGACATCTGCATTGCCTAAACATTCCTTGCTCTTGGTGGACTGCAGCCCACGTTAGGGGAAACAACACCACTAGAGAAGTGTAAAGTCAACATGCTGGGGGACTAAGCACTTCCTGAGATTCTGGAATATACTGAAAAGGCAAATAGAGCTGGAATTTAAAAAAAACCCCAACAAAACACCCATACAACAAAAGCAAACACTATTTTAAGACTGGAGTACACGTTCTGGTGACTCAAGATCCCTTCACAGATCTGTTGCTGTAATATATATTGCAGCTATGAATGTAAAGACTTTAGAACACAGACTAGAAACATCTGCACTAATTTCTACTTGATATCTGCTACAGCACATTTGAGTGCCTGGACACATGTCATTATTACCTGATTTACACCAAGATACTCAGTAATGCAAACAGAATAACTTCCGAGCTTCCTGTCAGGAAAACAAGATCCACTTCAAGATTATACAATGGTGGTGCTTCAAGAGTGAAGCTGTTCCAAATACACATTTCAAATGTAAAAGGAGATCTGTAAACAATCCTAACACACAAGTGATTTTGTACATCTGAACTGATTAATTCCTTTTGAAAGCAACATGGGAAATAAAAAGATACAGAGTTTAATTTCTTCTCTTCCTATGAAAATAAGCAAAAACTGAAGGGGAATCTTAGACTTTGGGCTTGCTTAAAAATTACAGAGGTATTCTAAGATGCTTCTTGATCAAAATTAGCAATTAACTTCTCTTTCTGAACCCTAAGACAGTAAGCAGACTATCAGGGAAGAACTTTAGTCAGAGCTATTGTTATTAATAGTGGCTCACTGAAGGCTTATGGCACAAGCACTTGAATTCAGCAGGGACAAGTGTAAACTTCTTTCTTCAATTCATTGTCACATTGCTGAAAATATGTATTGGACACATAGGTTGCAGTGACTCCCTGTGGTCAAACAAACAGACTCAACAAAGAAGCTGACAGATCTTTATCAGAAACCATAGTAGGGAGCACGATACAGCGATAAGCTCAGCAGTCCTACCGCACGTAATTACTTGTGAGGCCACCAGCCAGCTGTTCTAAGACAGTATTTCATGGATGCACAACAAAGAAGAGCATGAAAATTGTAATAGAGATTGTGATACACTTCAAAAATTCTACACCATCCATCCTCTATACTCAAAAAAGAAAACGATCTTCTTGTAATTCTGGAGCCAGACTACAGCATTTAAGTGACACACAAAATTCATTCCCTTTTTTGGAATGAAATGGGGGTATGAAATCAGCTTTGTGCCTTTTGTGTGCCTGCTGGAGGGAGATGACTCTGAAAGACAGGTCTGGGGCAAGTTAGGCTGAGAGCAATCCATCCTAGTACTGGAAGAAAAGATTGTAAAATCCACTAAGTCTCGGTAAGTTACTCCTTAAAAACCACACATTTTAGCTGTTGTTTAAGGCAAGGTGCATAAAGGGAAAAATAAAAAATCCTCCAGAGGAGATTCAATGAAAACATCAGAAAAGTAAGGAAGAAAATTCCCTTAAGCAATCCTGAAGAACACAAAACATTTTAAGTACCTCGGTGTGTGGACCTGGGATGGGGTTTTTCAGCGCGAGATAATGCCATCTAGTGGAGATGGAATCTCCCTTAAGAGGGCAACCAGACACCTACGCAATTTGTATTCTCTATTTCCAATACTTTCATATCGACCCTTCCTGTTTCACCAACACCAGGGCACGGCAAAAGGTACAAGCAGTGAGCCACCACACCTAAGAGCAAAGAGCAACATTACCATAACTGACTAAGAAGCCTGGAGAGCTTTCTAAGGAAATCAAAGTCCTGAGCAATAAATTACAGTTGCTTATGTCTGTACAGCATACTACAGCTTCATCTTTCTCCAAAGGAAAATGTATTTGGCTAGGTTTCCTCGTTTTCATTTGTTCTTCATGCTATTCACTACTTAATCTGGAGAGATGGCATATCTGAATACAAAAAGAAGCAACATCCCTTCCTACTTCTCCAAATATTTCATTATTTTTGTTCTTTTCTCCCCCTACCAAGGAAAGACTTAATGGTCAGACCAACAGGTTATTTATCATTGGTGAGGATCAAAAGTAGATTGTGGCATCAAATCTTCCAGAAAAGACAGTAGTGTCTTGGATCAGATCAAGGCAAGCATCAATAGGGAAAACGTCACTTCCCCCATTATGGACAAGGTTTTAAGACTCTTCAAGGACTTCAAGAAAATGATGACAGAAATCAGTTATCATCTGTTCAAATATGGGACAAAGACAACTTTCCAAATGCTGTATGAAGCTCTTACATTTCCTGTACTGCACGATTAGTGAGCCCAGAAGCAGAGCAAGTAACTGCTGGTCTCTCTTGATTACATTTAAAAGTTATGTCAAAATTCAATTTTTGGAGTCTCCAAAGCCCTCTGCAAAGTGAGAAAGAAAAATTTTACAGATAATAAAACCAGACAGTTTAGACAAGAAAGTCAGATCAAGCTGTGCAGGAGCACAGCTGTACAAAGTATCTGTGTCTCTGCTGGACTTAACATTTTTATTATCTCTTCTTTGCAGGTAATTCATCATGTATTTTCATTGTGAGAAATGTAACTACTTTAAGGATAACACTGAAAAATGCCAATTGCAGCTAAGACAGTCTTTCTTAACTGAGTTGGTCTACCTCAGTTTTTGACAAGAAACTGGCAAATTTTCACTTTAAACTAGCAGAAAAGTTTAAGAATTCTGAGCCAAAAAACTCAAGTTTATCTATCACCATCAATCCCCCAGCTATGTGAGGAATGAACACACAGGCTTATAACTGAAGAGCAAGTCTGTGCAGGTTGTGTTTCTAATGGTTTTCTAAATGTCTTAGATCTATATTAAATTTCTCCTCAACTCAGATCTTTCTGGCATAAGTAGCCTTACAATTTTCCTTCAATATCAAATTCTACATTATGAATGTAATCTGGCACAAGGCCTATGAAGGGGAGAAAAAAAAAAAATTCTGAACCTAAATGTTTCTGAAGAGATTAGTAGATTCAGAGTAACACCACACAATTGTTTACCAAGACTTCTGCAAAGCATTCACACAAGCAGCACATACTTCATCCCCTTAATGGGAATCTAAACAAACCAAAGTAGATTTGCAAACGTATTCCACATGTACTACGCCTGTCTGGGAATTATTTACATTGTGCAAATTAAAGAAACACAATGGGAAACAAATCCCTCATATTGCTAAACTTTCCCTGTTACTCCGCTGAAATAATAACTTTGCACTTTACTTCCACATTCATGGAAATGTGAAAAACAAAAGATGTTGTTAGATGATTGCATTTTATTTTGTGAGAGAAGCGTTATCAAGCAGCTAGAGTACCTAAATTATCATATGCATAACAAATTGCTTTTGTACCTTAGAAATCTGTAGCTACTTTAATTTTATTTTGTTACAAAACACCGAGTTTGAAGTGTACAAAGAAAGTGCTTGCCACCCCCAGTCTTGTTCCTTTTTAAGCACACATGTCCTGTTTAAGAATATAAAAATGTAGATGAAAGTCATCTTATGCAGAGGATCCGTACTGAATACAGTAAGACACAGGCAGAACTAGCAGACCTATGCACACCTGAATTTAACTTCACCCACAAAGAAAAAAAAAAAAAAAAAAAAATCAGGTTAAAATTTATTTCTATTTAATGCATTACATAGAGTAGGAAGCTATATACATGCACTTAGTTCAGAGGACTTTGGCCATCAATGTCTTGAGTTATCATGCAGAATAAGATGTTTAACAATGCTCGACATCCTATTGAATCTTAGGTATAACCAAGACTGACTTTATGGGTTAAAATAAACCCTGCTATTGAACAGTATACTCCAGTTCTCTTTGAAAGATTACAGCAGGCAATGACTTGCATATCCCAGATTGCAGGATGGGTTTAAGTAGGTGGCATATTATTACAGAAAGAGACCTATATTTGGTATTTTCTGAGACTGTTCTCACCGATTAAATAACCAAAAGGCACACAAATCCAGTACTCACCCTGATCAATCGAGTGTTGAGGAAGCTGGCTAAGTTGGCTATTCACTACACCTGCGTATGTGCGCAAGAACTCCTCTTCACTAGCAGTCAGCTGGAAATGTACAAAGAGTCAGTCAGCAAAAGGAAAATGAAGACAGACTGAAGATATTATCTCCCTCTTCCCAGTAATAAACATCATAGTTGCCTGTATTCTACTCTTCAGCAGTTCAATCAACTGTTATTTGTGTATGTCATCAGCAAGGGCACAGCAGCAAACTGGTACATCATGCATTCATGGAGAGATTCAAAGTTGCATTAAAACACCTGCTTTATTTTGCTGGTTTTCCAATAACGAAACACTTTACTGCATATAGAGAAATGTTCAGATGCTCCAATTTAGTTTCAGGCATCACAAGCCTCATAATATTTAAGCAAAAATCAATTGTGTTTAGCTGCAGATAATGGTTAAATCAATGATGGCTAAAACAATTCAGCAATAAAACCAGACCACCATCTCAGTAAGACTATCCCAGCCACTACAATATTGTCTGGAAAGCCACAAAATATGGGCTATGACACTGCATCTTACATTTGATCCCATCTTCCTCAGCATGAGTAGGACTCTCACTTTCTGCTGAATATACATCTCCTCCGGACTCTTTCCGGGGACGCCCTCACGGTTCATTCCCCTCCTGCCAGCTCCTGGATTTCCTGAAGTTATAAGATCAGAAAAAGACAAACTAAAATAGGTAACGGGGTATAATGGGAAAAGTTTCATTTCCAAACTAGCTATTTTTCACCAGCGAGACCACTTAAGAGCCTGGGAGAGTAAGGAGTCACATGCTTCACCAGAGAAATCCTTGAAAATTTGAACAGCTAAATTGGGCCTTACACATGCAACTCAAACATTCAAAGAGGCTGATGTTCACATCCCTACTAGCTCGTTATCTGTTGTTACATTACTGCATGAGTAGAAAAAGAAAATGCTAACAACTAGATGAGAGAATCACCCTGACAGAGGAGTCCGTGGTTTTGGTTTTTTCCTCTAAATAAGAACGATCAGCATGAAAACAGGATGAAGAATGCACAGCCATCAAGCCTGCAATGGCTCAACAAAAACTGGATGAACTCTAAACTCTTAAGTCCTTCTCCTCTCTCTTTTTTTATATCATATAAAAAAAGGCCACTGCACTTCTGTAAAATTTAATAAAATTTATTAAATGGTTTTGGAGAGAAAGAAGAGCTAAGAGGAGCAGCGAAGGAGTAGAAGTGATCATCCTTTCTCATATCATTTAAAAGCTGAAGTCTTGCTTTCCTACTTTATTAAAAAATAATTACGTTATGGAATAAACAGACTATGCTATCTAAATTCTATAGCACAGGACAGGATTGTACTTTGTTGTCTGAGTACCTGGTAATTATTTAGGTTCCACAATAGGGTGTTTACCCAAAAAAAAAAAAAAAAAAAGTTGTTCAAGCATACTCTTCAGCTGCTCTGTGAAATTATGTTGGACCATGTTTATTAAGTTAACAAGAGTAAAAACCTTAACTTCAAATTTAGAAAATAATGGTACTTCAAATAGTACACTAGTACAGCAGCATAGCCAACTCAACTGACCTCTGAGAAGTACTGTGTGCTGGAGAAACAACCCCCACTGAGGAATCTGTGGATGGAGGTGTAATCACGCCAGCCACTCTTCCGCTGTGCACAGCTCCGAGAAGTGGCTCCAGAACAGTTTTCATACACAGAACTGGGTCTGATGCTATACTAAGCTATAAATCTGCTTTCCTGAACCTTGGTAACCAATGGAGTACACTACACGAGGCATGCGTAGTGAATACTTTATCACAGCAGGTTCAAACACACTGGTTTCCACATAATGTTTTCCTGCAGTCATTGCCAACCTCTCCCCTCACTTTATTTTCATTATTACTTTTAAGGGAAAGTAATCTGGGTGTGGAAACAGTTTAAAATTACACTTAAGGCCTTCTGAGTGACTCAGAAGTAATGCAAACTTAAGCAGCAGCTGCTGGGATAGGCTTTACCACCCACATTACTTAGCGTTAAGATAACAGTAGTAAAAAGTGAGGAAAGCTCTATCACCAGTCCTACTTGAATAAGTTTCCAGTGGGAAGATTTAAATTATGCTGATTTGCTATACGTGATTCTGCTTGGAAATACGCAGCCTGTAAATGTTCAAGGTGATCATATTTTTTCGCTATAAACAGCAAATTGCTTTCTGAAGGGGGAATAAAATGATCCCACATTTTTGTGTAGTGTCAACTCAATAAGCAGACTGGATTATGTTCCTGAGCATATACTCCACAGTACAATTTACTGAGTACCAGCAAGGGATGTCAATAGTAAGACAATGAACATAGTGAGCAAGAGACATTAAGATATGAATATCCAGAGACTGATAAAATAATAAATGTTTATCAAGATAGCAAGTAAGTTTGAAAGGATGTGACTGGTTCTTAATATAATACTAATACATACTCTTTTTAAAATTGTTACTTGAAGAGAGAAGGTGTTATACTAGAAGCCAAAGAAATCAATTTACAACAGAAAAAGCACAACAGCAAAACCCCAAAATGTAGTAACACACTGACTGTTTAAAAATGGAACAAATTATATGGGATATCAATAGGTGGCACCATACACAAGCACCAAGAAAATGCCACGGCTGTCCCTATGCCCACAAGACCACATTTCGGCATTCCCCTATATATCAGATATTTCTATAGATTTGTAGTCTATACACATCATTATTCATTGTTTTCCATCATAACAGTCTTCCAGTTGTTTATTAATTTTTCAAACTTTGAAAACAAGTAATGGAAATCCCTATCTAAACCTGGTTCTTTCAAAATAAACTTCAGCCAAGATAGATTTATCATGAAGCTACCTATTTAACGAGAAGGATAAAAATATTAAAGCCTGCCTGTTCAGTGAAGGTTTTGCAAAGCTAGTAAGCAACATGGGAGAAAAAGCACTCAGTATGGCTCAAAAGCTATCAAAGCGTAAGTGTTAAGAGGTTAAATTAAGATTACAGAACAACAGCTCTGCTGCTGTTACACTGCACAATTATTTTGGGTGACAGCCTCAGCCACCACAGCTTTTCCTACTTGATAACATCAAAGCAGACACAACAGTCTTAAGACAGTACTGAGACCCCAGCATGAAAATCTTGAACATACATCTGCTCCTGTTACATAAAGCTTTTACAAGACATAGTTTAGGATGACAATACTACCCAGCACCTATTACATCAGTTAATTTCCAAAACCACTTACAAAGCTAGTCTACCCCCAGAAGACAGCATAAACCATTTTTACAAATGAAGGACTGAAAAAATCTTATCAAAATACTTATCAACTTTGCTTTCTCAAGAAAGATACATTAACATGCTATACATAATGAAACGTTACTTAAGCAGAATTTCCCTAACCCTGTAATTCTTTCTGGCCCCCAGACGAAGTTGTCATCTCCCCGTCCCCCAACAATAAAACGTTAGAGATTTCTCTGTCAACGTACCTGCTTCTAAAAACCACAGAAGATCAGATAACCCACGTGTTCAGTCCCGATTAATGACCGTAGCTGGAAAAACCGTACGAGGAAACTGCCCTGTGAAAACAAATGAGCAAAGCATTATAGAAACATACAAAGCTGAAAACCAGAAAGAGTCCTCATTCAACATGCTTTGAATCACAGTCTGCTTTAGAACATGGTCTAGTCAAAATTCTAAAACTGGAGCCTTGTCTGGAGCTTGTAGACCCTTTTCATTTTTAAAGAGTAAGTTTTTTAAAGGTCAAGCCATTCTTCATCTGCAAGATTTACACCCTGACCATACCAACGACATTCCCAATCAGTTGAGAATGGAATGCATTCAAGCTTTGCATTCTTTAAGAAGTTTTCAGCATAAATCCCAACTCCCTGGAAAAACCAATAAATGTCATGACATGTAATTTCTTTTCATTTAAAAAAAAGGCATAGCTTACCAAAGATTTGAGGGAAAACTAGGGAGAAATGTCAAGCATGATGACTTTGACCAAAATTATTGTTTTCAACTATGCATATGTTATCTGAATATAGCAATTACCAAGACGGGCACTTGAAAGCTGGGCTGGAAAACCCTTTGTGCAGAATTTTTCAGACCAAGCTCACTGCTCAGTCACCAACAGTTAACAGACTTAAGTTTTTAGACTCATGACATATTTCTGAACATATTTTACAACTGACTCTGGGCATGATAATAATTTGTAACTCTTCCTATCCATCACATTAGCCTCCGAGACAAGCAGCTCAATCTCACAAATTAAGTGACAGTTCAAGCCTTCTGTCATGTGCAATGAAACAGCAAGTGCCTGCTACTCAGGGCAGCACTGCAGCTAGAAGCATAAGTTGCTATACTTAATTAAAAGCTTCTGATTAGGGAAGATATGCATACCTGCACCATTTGTTAATGAAGTCCAGCCTAAATTTACCAGACATACTCTTTGTGGGGGTTTGTGGCCAACAAGCTAAGGCATATCTAGACTAATTCAATTCCTTTCACAGCTGTTGACCACCCCATGCAGATGTCATTACTAGCAGGGAAACAACACAGGAGTAGCTAGAGCTGCTCAACTGTTCTGTACACCAGGTTCATCAGAGAAATGCTGAATCCAAAATACCTGCTAGCTTCCCCGGCAGGTTCTCTACAGTGTCTCTCTCACTAACAAGTGTTGGAGGCAGCTGAGCTTTATCAATGGCTTAAAAGAATCATTTCACCTCTCCAGAGGAGAGAAATTGCCTGCTCTGAAAGGATTATTTAAGCCCTACCTCACTAATTAGTTCCCACTGTTCCTGCCCTCTAAATATGCAATGCAGTCCCAAGAAAGATTATCTACAGCACTGACAACAGGACCATTTGCAGTAACTAATTGCTGTTCTCATTTCTGTGGACTTCAAAGAGCCACCCCCCACCTCCACCACTGTACAAATACCACACAACTGAGTTTGTGGACTCCTTCCTAAAGAAAAGGATTAAAGCTTGGGAAGTAACCACTTCTGGGATGCACTTCTGTCCTACTGACAGTAACAGAGTATTTATAGTTACCATTAAAATTCCCCACACACCCCAAAATGAAAATTTGCTTATTTACCACCAAACATAAAGATCAAATGCTTTCCTAACCCTATAAATTCAGAGGAATTCAGCTGAGAACTGAACAGCCTCCACAGACAAACCGTTTTCATGACCAGCCAGAAGGCTTGTATCACACAGTTTCACCTTCAAGCAGACGTCTAGTCTCTCTCCAAGCCAGCAGCAGCACTCAAAACATGTTGTCTTTGTCCGACCCATGTGGCTGTCCCCAGCTGAACTCACCTCACCACTGTCACAACAAATACATGGGTGGAACAACAAGCTTGCACACCAAAACTTGAGAACTTCTCTGCTAAACCATAGGGCACATCCTCTGATTAACAAGCACCTTACTGCAAAAGGATCCAAAAATGACTGGAGTAAAAAAAAACAACACCCAAACCCAAACCCAAAACCCCAGATTTCATTACTTTTTCTTAAAATTATGAGAAAAGAAGACTAAAAGGCCCGGTGACCTGTCCAAACCCACACAAAGGTTCTTCTACCAACTTGCTCAGCAGCTCACACTTCCAACATTTTCAACTACACATCAACATTTCCACATTCATCTCTAATGCACCCTAAGAAATAAGATCTAAAAATATTTTGCAACTGTGTATTTTGGGGGTGGGAGGGAAGAAGTGCAAAATATGAGAAAGAGTTTAGCAAGACAGCTGAGGAACAGCTGAATCACTACTAGCACAAGTTCTGCTCACAGTCTGAAGAGTCCCAGTAGACCTGTGTGCTAAATAATGATCTATCCACCCCTGAAGAGTTTTTCAGGTCGGGTAATTCTTTGCTTCAGTTGCAATTACCAGCTCTGAATTCTGCTTCTTTGCTCACCTATATCCACCTTCTATTTCTGCAAGGTCAGAACATTGCTTATTTTGCCTACACTCAATTCCAATTTTCTGTATCTAAACAAGCAGTTTTTAACTAATGCTGCAGGACTCAGGTAGGTTTGACCCTCACACAATCCTCTACACCTACGCAGGTACTACAGGTACTACTAACAGCTGCTCAGGCTCATCACACCAATCAGCACTTCTATCCCAGAAAGCACTTGTACATGGTCATGAGGTTCTGTCAAAGCTTAACTCATACCATGTCCTCCCACGAGTATGATGAGGAAAAAACCAAACTTAACACTTTTCAACTTAAGTGTCAATAGAATACAAGAACGTGAAACCATTTCTCAGACTTAAAATGAAAAAATACTTCTTGCCCCAATTGGCATAGAGTCCCAGGCAGGATTTAAGAACAGATAAAACCATTCAGGGTCTTTTACCATGGAAATTAAATGAAAACTATTCTAAGCACAAAGACTCCAGTTTCAATTTATCAATCTGTCCTAAATAATTTTACTTCCTTACAATGGTTTATACTTGGGTCAGAGACTGCTACAAAGAGTATTTTTTTTAACATACAGAAAAACTTAGCAGCATTGAAGTAATGTTTACAGGGTCAGAGATGTCCATATGAGAGATGGAAAAAAAGTCAAAGTCTTAGCTTTAGGTTCTATCACTTAAGAGAGAATTCTGCTTCCCCCAATGTTGCTAGCTTAAATGAGTTTTTAAGCTAAAATCTAAGGCATGCTAATTGAAAAGAAACATGTTTTTAAAGTACACGTGACTGAATTACAACAGTGTAAGGAAACTGAACCAGCAGCAGCACACCACATGCCAAATGCAGGATGCTGGCAGTTTTATGTCAGCTGATCAAAGATAAAAACAAATTTTGCACATCCTGTACATCGTAAACAAACTTTTATCAACAGCACTAATGAATCCTACTGTTTACAGTTAAAACACAGAATTAAGGTAATTACCGATTCTTGCCAGATGTATTATATTGCATAAGAGAAACTTTCCCTGAAAGAACATTTCAGTCTGTATTTTCAGCACAAAGAGCCAGACAGGGAGATAGAAAAACAAGAAGTACTGTATACTGGATTGAAGGAATCCCCACAGCATTGACAGAACTCAACTGGAAAGCTGTTCATTCAAAAGAATCAACAGCCAAAGCTATTCAGAAGCCCAGTTACACGTTCACTGGTACTTACTGGCCTAAGCAAAGAAATACTGGGGTCTTGGGTGTATTTCTGGTCATCACATCCTGAATTACTAAAGGAAGAGATGCCAAAGGCTGATGAAGCCACACAGAATGCACTGACCTATCAAGTCTGGAACTGGTCTCTCCAGGTAAGGGTGAGGCACATGTACAAAGCCAACAGGGAATTCTGAGCTGCCAATACCTTATCTATTTTGCAGCTAAGCACACTGTACTCTCCAATGACATTATTCCTTTCTCATGAAAAAGACTAACCTGTGCAGTTCAAAAGCTGGAGTTTTAAATCTGAAATGATTACATTCTTCACTAAACTACGTTAAAAGCCTAAATCCCACAAGCTTGTCCTGCTGCAACCAACACATTGCAAATGGACATAATTGGGTCACCTAATTTTCCCTTGTTTGGCAGGCATAGGGAATGAAATTTAGTTCTCGTTTATTTTTAATGATTCGCAAGACAGAATAATAAATGAGAAAGATCTATATATTACAGCCCAAACTGCTCGCCCAGCTTTGCCAAAGCAATAAATTTGAGTTGAAAAACATTACCTCCCTTTCCCAAGCAGTAAATGAGGTTGGTCAGTAAACAAATAGAAAATCTGACCCCCATGCTGCCTGCAGAAGGGCTGGGTGAGTATCACAGGAATGCTTCTGCTTTGCAAGGCCCAACATGTGGACTGGGCAGAGTTAAGCACGCCTGACATCCCCATTTTGATCCCTGTTTGCCTGCCTACCAAACTGATCTCTGGCTGTGGAAAGAGGATGTGCAATCCTGGCAACTTTCATGCAAAACACTATAGACTGAAATTACACTTTCTAGCAAAGCAGTAAGTTAGAGATGAGAGTAAACTGGACATGGTTTTGGAACCAGGCAATGTAGGTAAATCTACACAGAAAAACAGTTGGACTACTTTACAAGTATGTTAACAAAATAGAAGGGAATTAAGTACTTTAAACTCTTCCACTAGCATTAAAGATGCTATCCTACCTGTACACATTGTTAATTATCCTGAAAACTTTATAATGAAAATACAATATAACCCGTTCCAAAAATGAACTAAAAGACCATACTGGCTTTCTCTTCAATTACTGACTCTGGACACAACAGTGTGTAATGAAAAAGTATTGCCTTTGCACTTAGCCCCCCCTCCTTTTTTTTTTTTTGAAACTAGATTTAGATCATCAGCTACCACGTTTTCACTTTTTAAAAATGTAGACAGGATAAACCTGTACTCAAACTCTGTTTAACTAGTCTGTTTTACAAACAGATGGAAACAGCTCCTAAGCAAACTCAAGCTCACTGGTAAGAGCTATTTTAACTGCATGCTTCCAGTAGAGGAGGGTTCCAACACACAGCAAGTGAAAAATCACAAATTCGTAACTATTTCCCTCACTTCTGCCTATACTCATGAATTCAAAACCTGGAAGGG